GAACCACACGCTGTTTCTTAGACACAACTTCCCACTTAAATCAGTGTCCTGTCGCATCAACTGGCATCGGCAAGTGGCGACACTGTGTAGACTCAACCCTGAGCTTGATCAGAATCTTCAGTCACAAACCTGACACCGTTTCGGGGCTTGCAATACGGGTTTCTGTCAGGCTCCCAGCAGTTTCTTTTGGACCACCATCTCATCTGACAATCACCCGAGGATACCTGCCAGAGCTCGCAATTTACGACGAGTTAGCTTATGGCACCTCTGGCTGTTAAGTGAAGTCATAAAGCTCAAACAGCTCTCATCTCCCATTCTCTCTTCCTAGACAGCAGACCTGGGAGAAACTCCTTCTAGCCGGACGTCACGCGTGATGTACGAGAAACTACGGACAGGTGTGTACCTATACTTTTTAAAATTACACATTTCGTCTGGATTGTGATTCACTGCAAAACAAGTCGCAGGTTCCAATTGTAGAACTATAAAATTTTAATAATTCATGGTTGATTATACGGCCTAAGCGGTATACAAATAAAGCGTTATTATTATTATTGCCTCTAATCCTCAGGGTACTCCTACTTGCGTGCGAAAGACAAAGGCAGCAAGAATCGAAGAACAGAACCCCGACCACACTGCTTGTGAGAAATGAGCAGCTCTTGATCTAGGACAAAAAACTTTCTTCTGTTTAATATCTAACACGTGTTACGTGTGATATTACACCAACTTTTGATTAATAATACGAAACTTTATACCTTATAAAGTATGATATTTAAACACGAAAATTTACATTCTGAAATTGGTATAGTGTTCCTTTAACTGTTCCTTCAACTTTCATCGTAGCTTTTTTCAAAATATTCTTCAGTGCCATCAACAAACAGATTTTTTCATTTGACTGAACTGTGCCATATTTGATATTGCCTCTGTATTTTATAGGGAAAATTTTTTAAATCTTGCAAGTTGATGTAATTAAGTTTTAAGTTAACGTATTATAGATATGTTAACACTAGTTTATGTTTCAGTATTTAAATTGTTTCCATTTATAGTTTAACCGATCCCTGTTGTAGAGTTATCAGATCTTTACTTAGGATAAACAATATAATATGAAGTTCGATAATAATATTAATAAACATTAATTGTATTCACTGTTTTCTAGTCATCAAACTTCAGATCAGGAGGTGACCGGGACATGATTTTAGGCCTGACCGGGACCGGGACCGGGATACAAAATGTGACTTGACCGGGACCGGGACCGGGACTGAGATTATCAATTTACCGTGACCGGGACCGGGACCAATAATTTCTGGGATTTCTATCTTACCGGGACCGGGACCAGGACCGGGACCAACAATACAATTTTTTCGGGATGACCGGGATTTGACCGGGATGACCGGGACCAAAACTGGTATTCTCATATTGAAAGCTGCAACTTTCATTTACATTATAATTGAACAATTTGATAAGTAATAACTAGAATATTAAATTAGAAAAAACTAGAAAAAACCCGTCAACATGGGGCATGGGCCTAATGTACTACACCAATAATGTTCATGTACTGAGTACTCAAGTTCACCCTCATTCCTCATTCCTCAGTCAATAATCCCTCAAATTATTCAACAGTTTCATTCTCCAATTGACAATTGGGCGTAGCCCGAGTTGAAAACTTGATGTTAGTTTGCACTTATGAGTTATGTAACGATATTAGTTACCTAAACTTGTTTAGCAATTTTAAACATTGTTTTATTTGGCTCAGAGGTTGTTTAAAGATGAAATTCACAATGAATGAAAGTAAAAACTTAAAATCACAGTGAATGAAATTATGTAAAAGATCCCGGTCAAAATCCCGGCAAATTTGAGTGATTGACCGGGACCAAGAATCCTGAATTAACCGGGACCGGGATCATAAATAAGCATTTGACCGCGACCGGGATGAAAAATGTGACTTGACCCGGTTGACCGGGACCGGGATAACTCAAAATTGCCAATCCCGGTCACCTCCTGCTTCAGATCGGGGTAATATAATGTACAAAATGATACGCTCTCGAATGCACGCGTCCTTTTCCTCACCTTCGCATCTTTGATCTTGTTAAGTAAAACACATAGTAAGGTTCCCCAGAAATGTTCTGTAAACTTGACTTTTTATTTAGGCCGGTAAAAACCCATAACTGACTGAGGTTTCGAAATACAGCCAAGAACTCAGATATGACACAATCAATTTTATGTGTATGAAACAAATTTTCAACTGTCTGGCGGCGATCAGCATGTCATACTGACTAAACTCTAATCGGTTTATGAAAATTACATCCCGGTTAATGAAAAGCGTAGCCTGGAGTTCCCGCTCCCAGGTAAAAATACATACATAAATGAGGACCGCCAAGCAAGGAATGAAGAACGAAATTAAATGTTATCTAATCGATTACAAATCTTGCAGATTCCTGAAATTAAATGTAAAATGCAGCTAAACTCGTGCATCTAATAATAATATGACAATATGATAGAATTGTAATAATGCTACATGCTACGCGCGCTAAAACGATGAATCTAATCTAAATCTAGTAACCATATCAACGCGCAGTAACCATAGTAACGCGCTCGATTCAATTCCAGTATATTGCGACGAGTGTTTACATCACTAAATTAGCTGTAACTTTGTGTGATTATGGACGATCGTGCTAAATTTAAGGCGCTGTGGCTAAAATCGTCCACTGAACCAACAGGTAAAATTTCAGAGAGATCGTCCCCAGCGCTCATTTTCACCTCGCGAATGATCAGCTCGCAGTGGGATAAATTGGCAACGTCCAAATATGTGTAAAATAAGACGAAGAGGGGTCACAACACTGCGCGCAGCGGTGAATTCACTCAGCCCGAATAAAGATTTGGCGGAATGCAGAATGACAGGCTGAGCGCCGCCCAGTAACGCGAATTGTAAGCACCCTGTCACCCGATCTTAAGGTGACGTACGACACTTCGTTTATAACAAACTAATTAAAACGTTTTCTGTTTCCCGCTAGGCTCATTGGACCAGGTGAGCTTGCATGCTTGTAGTTGTGAATGTGATTGTAAGTACAGCTGTATTGTAGTTTATACCTAATTACCCCTACTGCAGAAACTGCAAAGTGCGGGAAATTTTGGGAACCAATATATGGTTGCCAAAATCGATGGAGGGTTGGCGGCTAGATCAAAGCTCAACGGCTCTGGATTAGGGGTGGACGATAAAATAAACTTGCTCAGATTTTAAAATTTTTTTGTAATACTGTTTTCTAGAGACTGTGAGAATTTTCACAATACCAAATTTGTCATACCTTTTTGGAAAGATCAGTGAGTTTCGCCTCACTAGCTGGGTGCCATTTGCTCTATCCAGAGCCCTTGCGCTTGCAGTAGCGCGCCCCACTCACTTCTTGACGTACTTGTGAAACAAGCGCGCCCGAATTGGCGCGAAAGCACATGGCGGTTAGGTAATGGGAAAATCGGTAGAAAAGCGATCATAAGCGCCTATAAGCGCTTTTAAATCCTGACTCTGCCGGTGCACCCCAGGTTGCACAGAAAAGCACTTATAAGCGGGCACTCTGATTTCTAGTTCCGACCAGGTTAAGGGGAATTCAGAAATCGCTTATAAGCGCTTATTAATTCCAGGCACTCCCCCGTTCCGACCAGGTTAGGGGCAGCATTGAAAAAACGCTTATAAGCGCTTTATAATTCTTGCCAACCAGGCCATGGGTGATGGGAAAAGCGGTAGAAAAGCAATCATAAGCGCCTATAAGCGCTTTTAAATCCTGACTCTGCCGGTGCACCCCAGGTTGCTCAGAAAAGCACATGCAAGTGGGCACTCTCCAGTTCCGACCAGGTTGAAGAGAATTGAGAAATCGTTTATAAGCGCTTTTTAATTCCGGGCACACCCCCGTTCCGAACAGGTTAGGGGCAGCATTGAAAAAACGCTTATAAGCGCTTTATAATTCTTGCCAACCAGGCCATGGGTGATAGGAAAAGCGGTAGAAAAGCGATCATAAGCGCTTTTTAATCCTGACTCTGCCGGTGCACCCCAGGTTGCTCAGAAAAGCACTTATAAGCGGGCACTCTGATTTCCAGTTCCGACCAGGTTAGGGGCAGCATTTAAAAAGCGCTTATGAGCGCTTTTTTATTCCGGGCACTCCCCTGTTCCGACCAGATAAGGGGCAGCATTGAAAAACGCTTATAAGCGCTTTATAATTCTTGCCAACCAGGCCATGGGTGATAGAAAAAGCGGTAGAAAAGCGATCATAAGCGCCTATAAGCGCTTTTAAATCCTGACTCTGCCGGTGCACCCCAGGTTGCTCAGAAAAGCACATGAAAGTTCCAACCAGGTTAAGGGGAATTGAGAAATCGCTTATAAGCGCTTTTAAATTCCGGGCACTTCCCCGTTCCGACCAGGCTAGGGGCAGCATCGAAAAAGCGCTTATAAGCGCTTTTTAATTCCTGCTCACCTGGCCATGGATGATAGGAAAAGCGGTAAAAGCGGTGAAATAGCGATGAATTAGCCGTTATAAGCGATTTCTAAAAAAACGCTTATAATCGATTATAAGCGGTTATAAGATGTAATATAGCGTTTTCCTGACTCAATTTTAAAAGCGCTTATAAGCGCTTTATTTGCGCTTTACAAACAGCTAAATTGCACCCCAATTATAAGCGCTTATAATCGCTTATAAATGGTTCAAAAAAGCGCCTACGAATCGCTTATCCGGCCAACCGCTTATCCACCCGTTTTTGGCGCCAATCCTACTGGAAAACCGCTTTCAAATCGCTCAGCGACGCTAGTAAGCGCTTAAAAGCGCTTATAAGCGCTTTTAAATTTGAAAAAGCGCTTTTTTGAATTATGACACCAATTATAGTCGATTATAAGCGATTTTTTTTGAACCGTTTATAATCGTAAAAAAAGCGATTGTAAACGGTTTTTTTTTTAAAAAGCGCCGAAAAAGCGCTCAATAAGCGATTATCGGCGACGATCATAAAATATCGTTTATGGAAACTTGCCAAAATTTGTATTACTTTGTTGAAAAGAGACGATTATTTTTGTATAAAGCAGTGTGTTGATTCCAAAAATTAATAACAATATTTATTATGCTCCCTTTTGTAACCCCTTTTCCCAAAAATTGTGGCGCTTCTAGTTCTACATGAAGAATGTAGATGCTCATTTTATCGTTATATATTGCAAAAATTACATAACATTCATGATCAGTCAAGTTAATAGCCGGTCGGATTGTACCCAATTTCTGTGTTAATTTTAAATTGAATGCTTCCCGGTTATAGCCTTTTCAGATCTGAAATTTCTTAGTCCATACTCCATATCATTTTTTCTCAGACTAGTATACTTTCATGATTCATCATTAATTTAGTATCGCGGTTCAATGATATTTATTTCCCACCTGAACAATCATTAAAATTATATAAATGAATCATTATATTTTGGTACCTGATGTTCAGAGCTATAAGATTTAGAGACTGTTAAGATGGAATATGAGTTGGTTTGATCCGCTATTTCTTTGAACCGAAACCTGAAATATACTCCATGTTACTTTCTTATATTTATACTTTTAAAGCGGCGCATTCATGGCAGCTGTAGTAGTAGAGTGTTATAACATTATAATAATGTAACATTAGCTGTGCCGTAATTCAATCGCAATTAGTTAACTGAAATTTAGTATGTAATTGGTAATTAATAATGATCAAAGAAGGAATATTATATCGTCTAAATCCTATAAAACGTTCACAAACCTGGGGCAGGATATATAATAGTATAATATATAATAGTCTTCACAAGATAGATTACAGCTAGGAAGTAGTTGCTCGAATAAGTTGTTTTGATCCTGTACTTCTTATCACTGAAATTTGATATACTCCGCGTGAGTTTCTTTATCTTACAGCTTAAAAATAGCCTGCTGGAGCTGTCGTATTCTAAGATGGTACTAACTTAGATATCCCTCAAATAAATCAACAAATCAATCAATCAAAACTTATATAGAATGAGAGATTGAGTTGTCTAAATACCGTAAAACATTCACAAACCTGCAATAACCTGGGGTAGGATATAGTCTTCACAAGATAGATTACAGCTAGGAAGTATAGTTGCTCGAATAAGTTGTTTTGATCCTGTACTTCTTATCACTGAAATTTGATATACTCCGCGTGAGTTTCTTTATATTACAGCTTAAAAATAGCGTGCTGGAGCTGTCGTATTCTAAGATGGTACTAACTTAGATATCCCTCAAATAAATCAACAAATCAATCAATCAAAAACTTATATAGAATGAGAGATTGAGTTGTCTAAATACCGTAAAACATTCACAAACCTGCAATAACCTGGGGTAGGAGAGTCTTCACAAAATATATTACAGTTAGGAAGTAGTTGCTCGAATAAGTTGTTTTGATCCTGTACTTCTTATCACTGAAATTTGATATACTCCGCGTGAGTTTCTTTATCTTACAGTTACAGCTTAAAAATAGCGTGCTGGAGCTGTCGTATTATCAAATAGTACCCATTTAGATGTCCCTCAAATTAATCAACAAATTGATCAATCAAAAACTTATATAGAATGAAGATTGAGTTTTCTAAATACCGTAAAATATTAACAAACCTGCAATAACCTGGGGTAGGAGAGTCTTCACAAGATAGATTACAGCTAGGAAGTAATTACTCGAATAAGTTGTTTTGATCCTGTACTTCTTATCACTGAAATTTGATATACTCCGCGTGAGTTTCTTTATCTTACAGCTTAAAAATAGCGTGCTGGAGCTGTCGTATTCTAAGATGGTACTAACTTAGATATCCCTCAAATAAATCAATCAATCAAAAACTTATATAGAATGAGAGATTGAGTTGTCTAAATACCGTAAAACATTCACAAACCTGCAATAACCTGGGGTAGGATATAGTCTTCACAAGATAGATTACAGTTAGGAAGTAGTTGCTCGAATAAGTTGTTTTGATCCTGTACTTCTTATCACTGAAATTTGATATACTCCGCGTGAGTTTCTTTATCTTACAGCTTAAAATAGGTTGGATGTCCCTTGAAAAAAACGGGAAAATTTTTAAAGTTTAAAAAAATGCGAAGAATTGACATCGTGAATCAACTCATATTTTGTCGCAAAATTCATTGCTTAATTGATTTTTATGGTGCTTTCTATTCTGTCCAATACAAAAAATTGATACAAAATAAAACATTGCTTTAGTGTTGAGATTCGAGTAATAGGATTAAAGTAGTTAATTCGGTTTTAAAGTTAGCGTGAAGAAGATAATACAATGAGATTGTAAAGTACAAAGTAGTTGGGTTTAAACTTTTTTGAAGAGGCTCTTACACGCATAAAGAAGGTTTTTCTGCTACGAGTATTAGAGACCTTACCGCTTATTGGACACAAATAGAATTATGTTCTAAGGATCGATAATATGTGAAGAAGTATAAATTAGGCCTTTGTAGTCACTGTGCTAGAAACCAAAAAATGCGCGTTTTAACTTGACAGTCTATTGCTCTAAGGCAAAGAGAGTAATTATAGTAATATTTTGTCAAGCAATAAGATCACATTAGTTTTCTATTTGTGGTGAAAATATGACTAGACGGACATAATCGCGCGGAGTTATAGCTGTGGAAATTATGATGAACGCGCGGTGCCAATTGATAACAACTAAATACTTTTGCGCGTAGTGCGCGGACGTAAATTGTGCAAAAACGCTGCGGGTGAGAAAAGGGGGGTTTGTTGGGGGGGGTTGGGTGGGTGGTTATATACATTATCTACTTCGATAATGTAATGAGTGGGTACTTGTACTTCTCGGAAAGGTAAATTTAGGCAAACACATGGGACGATTGTTTGGTGATGAATACAAATGCAAAAATTTATGCTAATCTTCAAGCTAAAAATCAAAATTTTTAAACCCACTTTTTGGTTTGGCGCACTAAAATAGAGGATGGTTAAAAGTTGTTTAACCATCTTGTGCGGCGCCCCCTTTTTTTGTGGTTCTTTTAGCTACCTGCAGCAAATGTTGCTGACAATGGCCCACATTATTAACGTGCTCAAATATCAAAAACTAGGCTTTTTTTGGCCTATTTTTGGCCCAATATCGGTTTTTTTGCAATTTTATAACGTGCTAACCTCAGTCCAATCATTTTGAAACTACTTACTTTTAAATCGATTCTACGGTCCAAAAATACGTCTAGTAAGGGGATCTGGGGTCCTAGAGGTACGAGCAGACATTGCCCGTAAGAGCCTCTACTAGTTAAAAGGCTACCAGTCACCATTAAAATCGAAATGAGTGACACGAACGGTCAAATAATTTCCCGCCCTGGTTTACACTATAATATATTGTTGTCGGGGCGGAATGACACGTTGACCAACTATAAGTTACCTGATGTAAAGTACACACCCAGGGTTTCAACAAATTTATATCGATATTTATCGAATGAAAATTAGCACACAAGGAGGTACATGGAACATGAACATTGTACACCAAAAGTTCTATCAACAACAAGTGGAATGGGAAGATGCAAATACTTTCCTGCCAAAAAAGTTTAGCTGATTAAAATTCCTAAAATCGGTCTATATTGGTGAGGCAAGGATTTTTATCAGGAAAAGAGTAAAGATTTGAGACCTATTGAGAACAACAGTAATAAGTTTTTTTAGAGAGAAATAATTTAAAAGTAGTAAGCAGTAAAAAATAAGCAGACGTAGATATAAAGGTTGAGCCAGTACATTGAATTGGCTACTTTTCTAGACTACTTAAAGTGCCAGCATGTGCCATTTGAGAGAAGGCGACTCACTAGGACCTCTGAAGCAAATCCGCGATAATGGGTTTCGGAAAAGCCATTATTTGACACGTCGAGTCCCTTGAGCTTGTACCAGTGGCGTAACGTTGCCTGTGGGGCGCCCCCTGCCGAAAAAGGCGCCCCCCTGTTGCGCCCCCTCCCCTTTGTGGTTGCCCCCACTCCCTAAAATTGAACAAATTAGGTGATTTTGAGGATACGCCGGTAAAATATCTAAAAAAGGGTTTATCTAGAGAAAAACGCGCAGTTTTGCTAGTACTTTAGTAAGTTTTCGAAATTTCCCACATTCAAACGACGATTTGCGCCCCATTATGACGGCGCCCCCCTGCACAGCGGGTCAGCAGCCCATTCGTTACGCCACTGATCTTGTCGATGGTGCAATGGGCCTTTTGGAACTTCCATCCTTCAGCTTTCTGTCAACGAAATTACTATTAATCCAAGTTAAGGCAATCAGCCGACGCACGGATTTATGGTCAGCTATGATAATGTATAATCTGTAATATAATTTTCCTTTAAATCTTAAAATATTAGTGGAAATTGTGTGTCAAGACAGTATATTATATACAATAAAAGTATTCAAGGTGAGCAATTGGGCATGAGCACAAATAAGAGGTAACGGAAATGTCCACTGCTACCAATTCTTAGTATAATTGTAATATCAACAATCAAAAGAAATTCAACATAACAAAGAATATATACTCACTACTTCCATCATAGGGGCAGGGGTTGAGGTTTATAAAGACTTCTGGATAGTGGTTGTCTCATATTTGCTGTCCATTTTTTTTCCTCTGTACCCGCGTAGAGCAGGAGTGTGGTTCTTAACATAGCTGAATCTTATTCTTGTCCTTACAGTCTTACCACATCGCAATCCAGCTCTTTTTCTTTGCCTGCGGTTGAGGTCTTCCACTCTATTAGAAACCGCTTACTTTCTTTGGACTGGCCTCCAGTTGTGAGAAATACGGCTGGGGTGAAAGTGGCCTTCTCTACGTGCAACACTCTCTCCAAGTACTCTCCATCAAAAAAAATTTTTTTTTTTCCTCCTCATCCTTCGTCTCCTTTTTCGTTCGCTCTATCCTTCTAGAAAGTTTGGTCCTGTTTGATAAGCAATTGGGGTGTGAAACCCTTATGTCATGAAAGGTCTTATCAAATGGAGGCCAAACTCCTCTAAGCAGATACGTCAAGCCGAGCTTGTCACTTGTTCTAGTTTTGGGGTGAGGCAGTCACCCTCATTTACCTTCTTGTAGCTGGGGTTCGTCTTTCACAGCTTGACATACTCACGTAGGAGATTTGCTAATGTGTCTCTGAAATGTTGTTGTGTGGGTCATTATCCACAAATCCCCCAACTAGCTTACATGAGAAGGTGGTCGTAAGATAACTTGTTTTTCCCACTTCCACAGTGTGGGGAGTGTTGGGATCCACTCATAAATCTCACCACCGTAGCTTAA